AAAGGAAAGAGTCACATTGTTTCAATAAAGACATTCAGTTTTATTAGCATAAACCAAGTACCTATCTTGAAGACTTCAGCTACTGAACTTCTAAAAAGCAGTTGATGATACCTTACCTGTCTGAAGGCAGTCGTTGGATCAAATAATTTCTCAGGTCTCTGACCTAGGCTTTCAAATGTCATGTCTGAGACTACATTTAACTCTACATTGTCGTACAGCTAATTTTCATCAGGGAGATATTTTTTAGTAAGGTGTAAGTGTTATTTGTACTCACTTGGCTCATTTACTAACAAAGCAATTTCCAAGTTTATTGGGAGAAACTGAAGTTTATCATGTCCGCCCTGTTGACTTCCCTTCATATCAGCCTTCCTCTCCTTGAAAGCATAAATTCTGAACAAGTGAAGTAATGCACTCTTACTATATTGAACGACAGTCTAGGGTCTGGTAAAAGAGTGAATTATAACACAAAGTACACAAACACTGTATAAACCCTACTGATTTGAATTAAAAGCAAAACCAGCTGAGTTGCTGAAGTTGAAATTTGCCAACTAGAAAAAAATACAAGAGCTATGTTAATTGAGAATATGACTGAATCCTTTAGAGAATTGAAAAATAAGCTAAAATATGTAGAATAGATTCAGAATTACAATAGTTGCTGATTCAATAACATATATTAAGTATGATTCGTATTTGAGCATTTTCAACAAGAACACATTCATATGAGATCATAATTTTTGCCCAGCTAGTAATAGCCAAATTACTTAATAATAATATATACTCCCTCCCTTTCTTCGAGAGCAGAAGTTTTAAGCAGGTGGCTTATTTTGAACACTACATTTCTTCTAGTTTTGTTTTTTATCTCGTTCTTTTCCCCCTTCACGTTTATACTAAATCATGCTTAGGTACATCATAAACTTTGTGTAAACAGATATTTTGTCAAGGGTTAAAATTCCATAAGGCTCTGGAAAAGCAGAGAGAAAACATTACTATTCTGTTGATGTTTAGTGTCCAGAATACTGTTATACTCTTTTCTCAAACTATCAGTCTTATACTTGGATATGCTGTCATAGATTCCTTTCATCTGAATTTTTGATTGGCATTTGTAGTGGATATTATGCAATTGAAATTCTTTTTTTTTTTTTTAATTGGTTCTTTTAGTCAAATTTCTCCACCTTACTGCATCTTTTCAATTGTTTTATCTACGGCTCGGAAGGTAGGCTGGTGTTACGGAAAGAACAGTGGGCATTGGAGGTAAACTTGAGTTCAAAGCCTGGCTCTGCCCCTTATTGGCTATGCATGTTAGGTTTCTTAACCTCTCTGAACTTTTATTTCCTCTTTTGTCAAGGGGGAAAATAGTATTTACATCGCAGTGGTGTTGTGAGCATTAAGTGGGATGATATATGTAATATACCTAATACAGTGTGATACCCACTAGATGCTTATCAAATGAGCTGCCTTTACCTCACTATCTCCGGTGGCTTCATAACGTGGGAATTTAGTCCAAGTCACCAGAAGGGGGTAGAACACCACCAAGGCCATAGAACAACTCTCTGGCCTGCTCTATTTCATTTGGCACCACTTAGTTCTTTCAAGTTTCTATTCCTTAGCTTCTAATTCTTTCAGGGTTGTAAACCCAAAAGTCCAGAGAAACCAACTAGGTCACATGAATGAATAAAGTTGACTAAGTTCAAGCAAGAAACCCTAGAAATATATAATCAAATTTGGTCTATACTTATTCTTGTCACAGCCATAGTCATGCAATATAAATACACATTATATTGGAGAGTATATTTTAAATTAGAGATATTTTCATGCAATGATAACATCATCTCTGCCTGAGTATTAGAGGAGTCAGTCGTAGGGAGAGGGGGTACCTTGGCAGCCTGGGACACAGATGCCTTGTCTAAAAGGGCAGCCCCCACTCAACTCTAGACAGTTATTGCTACATGGACATAAGGACCGAAGGTGGCCTCACCTTCCAGTTTTTTAAGATTAAGCTAAGTATTTGCATTTTAACAGAAAATCTCCCTATATTTGAATATCAGACCAGTTCGTCCTAAGTCCTCTTAGTTTGTGACTTCTGCCCACTGTTTTCCTCATTCTCTCTGACGTCTCTGGCCATTGCTTCTTCTTTTCTTTCACAAGATGCTGAGCCAGGGTTCCATTTTTAACTTCTCATTCAAACATGATTTCCTTAAGCAAGCTCATCCACTTTCTTGGTTTTGAACTCTGCCTTCTATGCTGAAAATCCCTGAATCTGAGTCCTCAATGCTAACCTCATCTTAGACTTTTAAAATCATTTAACCAACAACTTGCTAAATATCTCCATGTAAATCTCCTTCTGACATCTCAAAGTCGCTACAACCCAAACTAATTTCATGAGTTTCCCTGAACTTCCTTTCCACCGACCCTCCTTTTTCATGGGTGTCTGCTCCTTATTCCTTCTCAAACTAATCCCATGACCCAGGCAGTCAAACGCTGCACTTAGGACTCAGTCTAGGTTCTTTCCTTTTCCCTCACCACCATTTACAACTTTTACAGATCCACCAATTCTGTCCCATAGACGTTTGTCAAATACATCCGCTCCCCCACATTTGTGGAGTCTCTACCTCCCTAGTTTGCTCCAATCCATTTTCTACCATGTTGCCACAAGCAATCTAAGATTATCTGACCAATGTTTCTGTCCTACCTGTAACTTTTCAGAGTCTTTCAGATGTTCTGAGCTCACTGAAACTCTGCAAAACGAGGTGTGAGCAGTAACAACTCAAGATAAAGACAGGAACCTCGGTGGCAGAAGCAGAGAGAGATCCAGTGAATAATCCAAAGTAGGCAGGGATCAGGGTTGATGGAAATTGGAGCCAGATTAGAAATTGCCATTTCTAGAATGGGAGCCTTAGGCCATAGGTCATGTTCCACTTTTCTGAGATCCCTGAGGTAAAGAAGTATATTAAGCCAAAGCCTCTTTTTTTACCTTCATAAAATTCAATATATTTGACTCCCCCATCACCCCCAATTTTAAAATGGATACCATGTAGTTTATTTAACTTATCTCTGCCATTTGCCACCTCAAATGGCTCTCTACCTATTTTTAAGCTAGACAGAATCTGCAGGCCTTTAAAGAAACGAATTGTATGCAAGCAGTGTAACTTTTATCCAAGGCTCTGATGACCTTGAAGAATTCTCTAGCTTTTCTGCTTTTGTTTATTTTTTGTCACAGGATTCCCTCTATAGAACCAAAGCACTGTTATCCATAACTTCTTATCAGTCTATTGTGAGCTTTCACAGAAACCACTGGGGATTTTGCTGTGTTATGAGAACCTCCAAATTGCATGACAATCTTGTTTTACAAGTTTCTTATCTCCTTTTCATTTGTTCAGTTGGTGGTCACCAGTGGCTTCCAATGTCACCAGAATCTATTCAGAGAAACAAGAAGTTTTTGTTCTGCAGACTCCTTATCTGCAGTTGTGTTTGTGCTCTCCAAACCACTGGTGATTTGTGAGGTCACTGGTTTCCCATGGTGTCACCATAGCCACTCACAAAGATAATCTTCTAATTGTAGTCCATTATTCACCATAGTTCTCTACATTTTTCAGTCACACCATTTCATTCTTACTGCTGTCAAATTCTAACGGTCTCAGGTGAAAAATCCTGAATTATTCATTTTGCTTAGAGATTGTCTTTCTTTAAGTACTAGCTATGAACATGAGTATTAAGGCTGACAGTGATAAAAAGCAACACATGCTATTAGGTGGGCTCAGAGTTAGGAAATAGTATTATAAATTCATAAGTGGTAGTGAGTATACTTGCCGGGAAAGTATCGATTAATTAAAAAATGGTCAGATACAAGAAAGAAAATACAGATAAGAGGAAGTGGCTTTAAAAATTTGTTTTAGTCTTAGCATATGATAGATGAACTCTAATGGCAGTCTTAGAAACAATAAATACGCATTCAGTGAAGGTCAAATATTGTGAAAGTTTATTTGCAAATATTAAGCTTTTACTATTTAAAAAAAAAAAATGGATTCTGAATTCAAATACATTAGCAACAGAATACAAAAGCCCCAATAGATAAAATGCCAAATAACATGAATAGGGTAATGAAGGAAAAAACAGGATGCCAAAAAGCATATGAAAAAATAGTAATTAAAGACACAGTGAGTTAATCAAATATTCAAATGGACCCATACACATAACCCGTTAAATGATGTTACCAAGATAAAACATATTGCTGATGAAGGTGTGAGGAAATGAACATTCTCAATCACTGATGGTGTGATGATAGAAATGTAAATTTGTAAAAGTGTCTGTTGAACAGCAAAGTGGACAGTCAAGACACCTCAAAACAGCTCTGCCGACTCACCACACAGTTATAGTTTTGAGAAGGTATTCTATGGAAATAATCTAAAATAACAGAAAAGCCTTTAGACCTAAGAAATATCTGGCCCAGTGTTCTTTATAATGTCTAAGAAGTAGAATGATTAAATAAATCATAATCCATCCATGAACCAGAATGTGAGGCAGCATGAAGTTATAGGAGTTTAAGATGGGAAAAGGATTATTTATAATCTTAAGTCCAAGAGCAGGATGTAAATTTTCACGTATGGAGTATCAACTATGAACAAAATATTTACGAAATAAGGCTGTAAGAAATACAAAATAAGTGTGGCTATTTCTGGATAATGGGATTAGAGATCATTTCTATTTTAATCATTTTACTTTTCTACATTCTCCAAGTATTCAACAATGAGCATGATTTACTTTTATGATTTATTTTTAAATGTTAAAAATATATTCTTGGGAAATGACTAGTGACATGGTCTTTAAATCAACTTTTTTAGTTTGTAGTAATAATGTGTGATTACAGTTTTTTTAAAGGTATTAGGAAATACTACCACTATGAATAAAATATTTGAAGGCCCTTTCGATATGATTCTACTTATGCCAGATTTGGAGATTATTATGATCAACTCACATTCACATACCTGTTTTGAGACACAAAGTAACTCATGCCCAAGGTTTATTTGCATTTGAATCTTTGATCCATGTTGGATTTTGCTGGTCCAAAGTGCCTTGCAATGTCCAAGTTTTATTGTATCTTCTCACATGCCATTTGCTTTTGAAAGGGGGATTATCATCATCCTTTTGTGGCAAGGAGATAAAATGGAGAAAGGAAAATAAAGTTTGAGGCTTTAGTTTTTTAAAATGCAATGAATACTGGTTATGTGAATAGAATAAGGGTCACACAAGAGCATGTATTTTATTTAATCATGTTTTAGAAGTTTATTTGAATATGAGCACTACCTGATCCCTTTTACACAGTTTACCTCTCTAAGGGGAGTTGGGGCCATTTTTAGAAGGGGGGCCTTGGGCCATAAGCCATGTCCCACTTACCTTTTTCAAGATCCTTGGTTTAAAGAATTGTGTTAAGCCAAAGTTTCATCTTCAAAACACAGATGTATTTGGCTTCATATAACCTGAAAGTCTGACATGGATGCGATGTAGTTTAAGTTAACCTTTCCCCACTATTTGCCACTTCCAATGCTATGACACTGGAAAAAGATGGCAATCATCTGTTGAATGGATTCTTTTCTATTTATCTCTGCTCTCACGATTCCAGCACACGAAGCTCCTTGGCCTTGTCCAACAGCCACTGGTACCAGAGCCAGAGCTGAGTGATTACGAACAAAGCCCTAGTCTCAAAGTGCATCAGTCTCCACAGAGTGTGGGAGTCTACAAATTTTTCATTTATCTTTTAAAATTTCAGTTCTTTTCTTCTCCTGAACTTCGTTTCACATTGTGCTCTGGGTCCCTTCCAGATGGGCTCCTTTGTAGAACATTTGTGTCAACCAGAGAGGGTAAAAATGCCACATTGATTTCCCAGTGGAGGGGCCCAAATGATGACAGATTGAGGAAGCTGACAGCGTTCTAGGATAGCATGTACTGCTCTGGCAGGTCACAACGGGGCCTAACAACAGGTACCATGTGACAGTACTGGGGACCACTGTATCAACTATAAACTAGGGATCATAGTCCCTGGTTGAGTGTTTCAAGGCAGGGGGCTTAGGCAATCATATGACATACAGTGGGCACTTCCACGTTTTAGAGCTAAGATTCTATTTTATTTTCTTTTGTACTTCATTGCATTCTCTCTCATGCTCTTTTCATTCAAAGATTCAGTCCCAAGACAGGATTATGATACTCCACCAGCTGTTGTGTCAGGTAGGAAAATTCTAATTCCTTTAAGATTTGATTGGAGGGGAGAGATGGAGGTTGCCTGGTTTTCTCCAAAACTCTTTAAAGCAGTGATTCTCAATAGGGCTGGGTACAGGGAATTTAAATTTTAGCTCTGGGATTGAGAGTGGGGTAGTTTATGTGGTTCAGAAAAAAGTACCATTACTATTCCAATCCAGTTTTGTATATGGAAAATAAGTATGTTGTTTTTAAAATAAAAAGTAAAAGCTCAAAGATATTTGGTCTGTGAAGAATACACAGAAAATAGAGTCTATGTTCTGTGTATCAGTGATTCTCACTGTTAGAAGGGTTCGTCACAATTTCTGGGAAGTGGGGAAAGGATATTCATGTTTATCAAAAGAGGGCACAGCTTAATAAAAAATAGTTTGAGAAGCACTGCTTTAGAGACCAGAATTCTGCTGAAATCAGAAAGTCATTCCATTTTGCTTGCTCGGCACCCAGCATAGTGTCTGACACATAGTAGGTGCTTAATATAATTGTTTGTTGAATGAATCAAAAGTTCAAGTTTGTTCCAAAAATGGTATTTTGGATATTGAAAGAGAATCTGCCAATGTTGCATCCGTACAACAAAGTGGCAGAGGTTGATTTGAGAATGCGTTAGCATCTTGAGGATTTTAATTAGCAATATTTAAATTGTTTCATAAAATTCAGCGGTGCAGTTTGTAAGAGGGTATATGTATATGAAGAGGTTGGTTTTTTGTTTTGAACTGTGCAGATTCCTCCTCTGTGCTTTCGCCTTAATTTTGAATTTTGGTTTCTTGCAAAGAGGAAAATGGGCATAATTTTTCATTTTTGTTTATTTTTTTAAACTAAATAAAATACTGGCAGCCTGAGGAGATTTGAACTCTTTGATCCTTTGATGTGTTAGATGATGAGGACATAAAATCTAAACCAAGAAGGGCATTGGTGTGACAGAGCAAGAGACGAAGGCCAGAAATAGAACGAAAGAGCCCAAAGGGCAGTGAAGTCTGGCAACCGAACAGTGGTTTTCAAGCAGAGAACACTGTGCTCTTGACCACCTGGTTTGCCTGACCCAGAATCTGAAGGGTAATCCATTTCTCATGTCTTGTGGACTTGTTTAATTATGCTCATGGCTGAATACTCATCTTAGAAATCCAATGGAGAAACGAGTTAGCTTTCAGCTGTAAAGTCACTTTGCTTCTCTTGAAGATCTCTACAAATTGTCATTAATTAAAATATCACTTATCTTTCCCAAAGTGTATTACCTGTCATATCTTAATGTGCCTATTTCATTTAGGATATGGGATCCCTGAGAAGATACTTTGTTCAATGCATAGAGTCTTTACTTTATTTAACATGTGGCTTCCACTCTTGATAATTCTCTAATATTCTTCTTGGTGAAAGACACAAATTGGAAATTCCTTCAATTAAGTTTCCTGATTTCACTTTCAAGAACTAAATGAAAAACAACAACAAAAAGGAAACATCAAGAGCACTTCCTAGGTATCAGCCATCGGTCAAGCTCTTACACAGATCAATTGAGGCAGGACACCCGGCTGCTTGGAGCTCCCACGTAACTCCATAGACAAGTACCACTGAAAGTTCTTCAGCAGAGAAATAACTTGATCAAAGTAGTGCTTGGAGAAACTTCATCTGGCAATTTTGTGTGTGCCTAAGGAACAGAAAAACAATAACAGAACAGTTAGCAAAGCCAAATATGATATCATCAGAATAAAAAAAATGACATTTCAGCTGTAGAGCATGAAGGAAGAGACTAATATAGATGTAATAAAAAATAATAACATGGGGAGTGGGGAGTGGTACAGTCACTTCCCCCTTACAAGTTTGGAGTGGTGGTTTGACATTTTGCCAATTTGCATGGACATCTTTGGCATCTTTGGTCTACAGCTAAATAAAAAGAGACTTACCTCCCAAGAGTTTGTCAGTTATCCGGTGGGCATAACTTGAATGACTTTTGAAAAATAGTGTATCCTTTGTCCAACCATTGACCAAACCAGTCACATAAAACAGACAGAGGTGTTGTAACAGTTTCCTCTCATATCTCCCAATATGCCCATTTGGACAATTCAAATAATAATCGGTTCTTTGGCAGGTGCCAGAGCTGACTCAACTGCCATAATGTATCTGAGTTCAAGGCGTCTGCTTCGTGATCTACAGAGACATAACCCAACCTAATATCATTTAGTCAACCGAGTATCAAACACTTATTGAACACCTTCTGAGTGCTAAACACTACACTTGGATACAAAGATGACTAGAAAATGGACCGATGGTAAAAAAAAAAAAAAAAATCATGGTCTAATTTAATATTGCTGTTATGGTGGTTGTCATTGCTTGTGATGTTTCAATGTGTAAAGTATGAAGGAGCCAAAATCTAGAATCTAAAAAGAAGATCAGGAATAAGGTGAATTCTGAGCTGGATTGGGAAGGGCAAATAGGACTTGAGCAGTTGAACAAGAGTGGGAAAGGCACACAAAGGGAACAGGACAGGATATGTAAAGTCTTGGAGACAAAAATGTGTAGACTTGCTGGTAGTCAGTTACCTGGCATTTTGGGGATGAAATAGGCTAGGTCAGGGTAAATCTGATTTTAGGCAAGGACTCTTTTTGAGTCACAGGTCACCTTGTTCTTTTATTTATTCAAATAATATTTACCGGGAGCATACTATGTGGCCATCATTGTGGTGGGGGCTAGGGATACAGCTTCCTTCTAAGAACCTAGGGTTGAATTAGGAATTTAGATATAAACAGATGATTACAATACAGTGTCAAAATTGTTTCTATATAGATAAATATGTTTAAGTTTGTAAATTCTTCAATAAGGTGCCTGAGTTAAAAATCTACATAAGTCACTAGTTGTAGAACCTTGTGAAAATTACTTCTCTGTAGCTCATATCACTTATCTGAAGAAATAACAATTACCTCATAAGGTTATTGTGAGCATTACAGATGTTAAGACACATAGCCCACTGAGAACAGATGCTGGCATAAAATAATTGTTCAAATGTTATTAGCAACAAGTATATTAATCATTCTTGTTACAAGGTATTGTGGTGGCACAAAGAGAAACATCAACATACAGTAGAGAATTCAGGAAAAGGAGAAGAAACCTCTAAGTGGAGACATAAGAATACATGGGGATTATCCAAGTAAAAAATAAGTTGGAGAAGAAAAGCTTCAGACCAAGGGGGTAGCATATACAAAGGCTCATGGTTAGCAGGGTAGGGCAAATTCAAGGAACTAGAGATGGTCCATTGGGGCAGAGACCCAAAGAGAGATGGGGAATAGAGAATACAAGCCTGGAGAAATAAGATGGGAGCAAAATCAACAGTTATGGTTACTTGAGCTGTATCCTGATGGCAATAAACACTAAAAGGTGTTAAGTTGGAGACTGACATGACCACCTAGATACAGTGTGGTGATTGCATTGAAGAGACCCAAAACTAGAAAAGGGGATCAGAACTCAAGAACCCAAGTATGAAATGAAATTAGCATGTGCTCAAGCTGTGGAAATGAGAATGGATTGTTAACAAACTTGTGACATATTAACTGACTGGCTGTCAGAATAGAAGGATAGACAAGAGTTGAGATAGTTCCTTAAGTTCCTGGCAACTCAATGGCCTGAGGTGTCATTTGCTGAGATCTGAACCAGAGGACAGATGATCAAGTTTTGCAGGAAAGAAGCCAAGTTTAATGTAGTACATGTTGAGCTTGAGAGGTCTATGAGGCATCCAAATGGAAATAATCAATGAATATTTGGATATGTGTGTCTGGAGCTTAGGAGACAGCTCTTAGCTAGAGATGATTTTTAAAGTTAACCATGGAATTAAGTCACGTCACCCAGAGGATGTGCTTAGAATGAAGAGAAGTAGGCAGATCCTTGAAAATACAAAGCGTGCAGAAAAAAGGAGCCTAAAATAAAGATTGGGAAAGACAACTACAGACACAGAAGGAAAACCAAGCTTATAAGGTTTCAAATGAAGCCAAAGCAAGTTGAAAGTTTTTCAAGAGAGGACTGTGCAGTAAGATGACTCTTAAAAGAGGTCATTGGCTGTAGTTACATAGAGAGCACTGGTCAATTTAATGGGGTGGTGGTTAAGGGGAAGGGCAGAGATCGTGAATGTCCTTAAAGGAAGTAGATGTAGGGGCGCCTGGGTGGCGCAGTCGGTTAAGCGTCCGACTTCAGCCAGGTCACGATCTCGCGGTCCAGGAGTTTGAGCCCCGCGTCGGGCTCTGTGCTGATGGCTCAGAGCCTGGAGCCTGCTTCCGATTCTGTGTCTCCCTCTCTCTCTGCCCCTCCCCCGTTCATGCTCTGTCTCTCTCTGTCCCAAAAATAAATAAACGTTGAAAATAAAATAAAATAAAATAGGCTCTTCTCTAAAAAAAAAAAAAAAAAAAAAAAAAAAAAAAAAAAAAAAAAAAAAAAAGGAAGTAGATGTAGCAAATGCCAGAAACTGAACAGATTTGGCTTTGAAAAAGAGTAGAGAAGATAAAACCAAACAAATGGAGAATGGAATTGATTGATGCACTGATTTTTTAAGATTTTTTCAGGTGGGAAACATTTGGTCATGACAGAAAGAAGTCAGGAAAGCATTCTCAAGTGTGAAGATGTAATTCATAAAAGGCAGGAGTGATAGAACTAGGTCAATGAGGAAGGCAGACATCTCTTGTGGGAATGTGGGAGGGCAGGAGGAAAGCATGACGTTTGTGCCTCTAAGTCTGTAAAAGTAGGAATAGGAAATCAAATGACTCTTCATGAGATAAATACTATTAGGATGGGAAGTATTAAGTGACATCTTCTGAGAGCAGGTGGGAAATGGCATGGGAAAGGATCTAAGAGAAGAGAGATTTGGAAAACTGTGGAGTAAGAAAGCCAATTACCAACACATACAAATTTTGAGGGGCAGTACCGTAAGTTCATCAGAAGCTAAAGATTATGGATTTTTGTGATGCCAATCTGTGAGGATGTTTGATTTTCCACTGTGGTGATCAGTGGCCAGGAAGGCAGACAGGTGGATTAATCCAGGGCTAAGGTTTTACTGACTGCAGTGAGAAAGAGGCCAATATGTGCTGACAATATTGGGAAGAGAGTGATTGAGTGACAAACCGCAGTTTCCCAGATCAATAGAAAGAGAATAGAGGGCTGTATGGGGTGGGCGAGAGGGAGAAACAGGGAAGATGGATTTCAGATTACAGATAATGAACTGTTTCTCAGCAAAGTCAAGGTCATGAGAGCAAGTGGCCAAAAGGTGGAAATGAGGTGAAGGTGACAGAGTTAAAGAAGTCAAGTAGCAGGAACAGAAGAGGCCACTTTTGAAGTACTTTTGTATGCCTGAAATTTGTTTGTTTGTTTTTTGATACTAATAAGATGTGGGCCCATCACTGAAAGAATTGATAGAACATTTCTGGAACACATTACAAAAACCCTAAAGACTTTTCCCCTCAGAATTTTAAACAATGAAGTTCTTTCCAGAACACTTGGAATACAGACCTAATTAAAGGGAGAAGAGTATATTGGATCAGTGTTCGTCAGGGCATGATTTGAGGATCACTATGATGCTTCACATGATTTTAGGAGTGCAGGGACTCAAACTTGATATTTTTACTACAGCAGCTGTATGGTTAGTTCAATGTGAATTTGAATAATGTAGAATAAGTCCATCAAACACATAGCTCAAGGGATGCTTTGCTGAGGAAAAGTTTAAGGTAAACAGTTAAAATGTGAATACATTTTTTTAAGTTTATTTATTTTGAGAGAGAGAGATAAAGAAAGAAAGAGTGGGGGAAGGGCAGAGAGAGGGAGAGAATCTCAAGCAGGCTCTGCACAGAGCCCAATGCAGAGCTCGAACTCACCAACCATGAGACCATGACCTGAGCTGAGACCAAGAGTTGAACACTTAACCAACCGAGCCACCCAGGCGCCCTGTGAATACATACATAAATAAGTAAACCAACAGTAATTCAGGAAGAACAGGGGTACGGCAAGTGTGGCGATGTCTAAGAGAAGTAGCTACCATTTGGGAAATGGAGTCCTAGATTTCCTTCATAGGAGGCACCGTTCCTTGTCCAAGTCTCTGCTCCACTTTATTGAGCTCATTTCAAGGACTGAGGACAGAAGGCTGGAACTACCCTGTATATTTTCATGCAGAATCACAGGAACCTGTTCTCTTGGTAGTGTTTCTTTTCCTTAATGATTGTACCCTCTTAAAAAGATCCTCCTCTTTTAGGCAAATTTGAATGAAAAAATGGAGAATACAACATCATTGGCACCGTTGGATTTTAGGAGGAACGTAGGAAAACTCCTATTTGTTGTCAAATTTGTTGTCAAATTTCTATTCCAGTTGCTCTGACCTGAATTTTTCTGAAGGACATCATCAAGAAATCAAGCAAAAGACTGCTATGGACAGAGAACTGAAGTAGAAACAAAATCCATTCATTTTTTTTTTTTTGGTTTCTAATTTTTTTATGTTTATTTTTGAGATAGAGAGCAAGCATGGGAGGAACAGAGAGAGAGAGAGAGAGAGAGAGAGAGAGACAGAGAGAGAGAATCCCAAGCAGGCTGCATGCTGTCAGCGCAGAGCCCGACGTGGGACTTGAACAAAGGAATTGTCAGATCATGACCTGAGCCGAAATCAAGAGTAAGACACTTAACCAACTGAGCCACCCAGGTGCCCCTCCATTCTTCTTTTCTAAAAACCTTAGAGTTCAAAATTTGAACTTGTGTTTGGGAAAAATGAAAAAATAAAAAAGAAGCCAAAAATGCAAAGGAATGCATCAATTATGGAGCATATATTCATTTCCTATCTTTTCTACATACCAGCTAAAATAGGCTGAGAATAGTCAGTGTTATCAGGACAACTTCACAATGAGGTTTCACAGAAAAAGCATATGTAAATCACAATATAGTTACACTCAGCAGTCAAATACGAAGTCCTTAAGAGTCAGGTTTCTGGACAGGGAGTCGTGCTCTAAGAATGAAGTCCTTTTCAGGGGTGCCTGGGCAGCTCAGTCGGTTAGGTGTCTGACTTCAGCTCAGGGCATAATCTCGTGGTACATGAGTTCGAGCCCCATGCTGGTGGGCTGTGTGCTGACAGCTCAGAGCCTGGAGCCTGCTTTGGATTCTGTGTGTGTGTCTCTCTCAGCCCCTCCCCTGCTCCTGCTCTGTC